TGTAGACTCCATTGATTTCAAGCTTTTGCTGAAAGCATTCTTTTCTCCGTATCAGAATATAGCTTACTCTATAAATCTCCCATTATTCTTTTTGAGATCAAATTCCTTTAAGATCATGGTCCCAAGGTTTTTAACCTTTCAGATTTGCTTCCAAATTGCTTAAGATCATAAATCTAAGCTAACTTTGGATGTACTAGACCTTCACTTATATAATGCTCAGATCTTCTGCTGGCCATCTCAATTCATTTCACTTTCATGTTAAGACTGTCAGTGATAATCACACCCCAACAATAACTACAGCTAGAACAGCTCTGGCAGAGACTAGAACAGGCAACTACAAAAGGTAGGCAAGAATAACTATAGGCTGGAGCTAAGGCTTAACAGCAAGAGATAGTGATGTGCAGGCCAGGCCATAAAGCCTGCAAGCCCACCAAGCCTGGCAATGAGCTCAAGGCCAGGCTCAGAGTGTATTCAACTTAAGTCAAGCTCAATCCTGGCTTGAAAGCTCAGGCTTGAATTAGGCTTGGGTGCACTGGCTCTGTTACTATTTTCTGAGTTCAGAATAAGGTGAGAGCAATCTGATATATACATACAAGACAAGATATAGATATTCTAAACTCAACAGTTCTTGCCAAGCATGATTGTGCACCATTGTTTAGTGTCTGCTATAGGTGCACACTCATGGACTTTGTTGCAACTTAACTTGTTCTGCAAGTGTAGGCCTTCTGGAGGTTATAATTTGGTGAGTACATGCAGTAGTAATCTACTACATCCAAATATACTCTCCTTTAATAGCACTAGAACACTCATTGTAATGTGAGCAAGTTCAGGCTTAAGCCCATGGCTTGGACCAGATTTGGGCTTGGCTTAAGCTCAGAGCTCAGTTCAATGTCATCACAAGCTTAAGCCTGGGCTTTGAGCCCAAGCCAGACCTGCACATTACTAGCAAGAGACTAGGAGTGAAAGGAGCTGAACTTGTGAGGAGCAAGACAGCTAAGAGTGATGGTTGGGATAAAGACCAGCTTAAGGCTGGAGATCTTATTCCAGAAAGTCTGCAGCCCTATATACCTTACAGAATAAATACCATACAGTGTTACCTAAACACACTCTGACCTACTTCAAAGTTCTACATAGAAGCTGAGTCAGAGCTTAACAAAGCCTGACAAAATCTGACAATGCCCAACATGAGTCTGATAAAGCCCAGCTCATATAGGGGCTAAGTCTGGACTGAGTCTGATGCTGACTGGATTGATATAGGAGCTGGAAAGTTATGAGAGGAGGAAGAGGTAAAAATAGAAGAGATGTAGAGCAAAAACAAGCGAAAATAGGTGGAAATAGGTTAATTCATGACAAAGACTGATAAAACTTTGCTCAGAATTTGCTCAGAATTTGCTCAGAACCTATGCCCACTGTTTGAGCTTCTAATCTCAAAACTAATTTACTGTCCTTACAATGTTGGCTACAAATGTGATATAGTATTTTAATAGAACAAAAGGTTCCAGGTTGAGATCTCTCTCTCACACTCTTTCTCTCTCACATTTATTGTATGAGACTGTACAGATATAATAAACCACTTAGAAGCACAAAAGATCAGAGAAAGCCAAAGGCTGAGACACAAGCCTGCTATAAGGCAGAACATTCCTACATGTTATAAACCATCAAAGCCCTGGAATATGCTTCTAATACTGTGTAGTACATGTGTAATGATTCCCTAAAAGCTGTAGTAGCTCTTGAAAGGCTTTCAACTATCTTGTAAGTAACAGAAATCAGAACATGGCAGAAATAACATAAGTTTATGGTCTATAGCAGTCCAATCTTCTGTGAAACATACACCAAGGCTACATATGTGCATATATATAGACTGGGATGTATGGAAACCATAGAATGTAGAAGACAAGAGGAACTGAGTCAGAGATACTTGTCTCTGCAATTACAGCAAAGAAGTGTAGATTGTACTATTAAAGGTGGCTAAGCAGATATTAATGATACCTCTACATAGTTACCAATATGATAAGGAGTGTCTATGAATATTTCGATGAATTTGAAATGTGTATACAGTATGCAGTAGCTTGGCTAACCTTGAGAACACCAGCAAGGATGTTTGCGCTCATTTAGGCGCTATAAGCGCCGGTGTCGGGAACATCCGGACACATGAAATGGTGCTCTTGCATGTCACGGATTATATGCGTATTTTAGCGGATTTATCCGAAATATATCGGAAGGAAGACAGCCTTGTCATTCTAGACCATTTTGCTTGTGAGAGGTACATCCAAACCTTTACCATGCCATCCACCCCAAAAGAGGCTTTTATGCGACAGGGTTAGTGTTGCCACGGCTTGGCTGTGACTTGACTTTGGATGGCTTTTCCTTTTCGGGATCAGCCAAGTCAAGTCAAGCCGCAATGCAGCCGCGACTATAAGCAACTATGGCTGAGCAGCAGCTTGCAGCCGATCATCCCTCCCAAAAAGGAAGGTAGTTCACACCGGTACCGCGGAATTCTCGTAACATTGCTTGTCCTACTTGAGTGATGCTAAATATGAACTGATCTCCTCTGGAGACTCTTCTGCACGGCTCTCCAAGTCCTTGAGCTCCTCTTCTATGTCAAACCATGTGTGAAAGACAGAGAATGACCTTGCTTGAACCCAAACTTGAGAATTTGCAGTGCTTCCATGAGTTCTCCACTGATTTTGTTGCGCCGGCCTGTGACTGTTATCTTTCCAGATGAGAAAATACATTCACAGGGCACAGCAGAGGCTTGAATAGGCAGAATATCCATTGCAATGGCATAGATGGTTGGAAACCTGGTCTGAGATGCCTAAAATGTGAAGATAAATTAATATTTTGAAACAAATGGAGAGAAATGGAGAGAAAAATTA